ACTGATCCCCGCGCAGGGTTCTTAACAGTGATGTTTTTCGTACACACGATAACGACCTAACATTGGAATGTTAAAAGCACGTCGTAATATAAATGACTAGCTTTTCTGTTATGTTCTAATTGAAGGTGAAGATTGTAACTTGATAGAAGTGACTCTGTCCGAGAAAACTGATCGTCATCATTATTTGAAAACATACATGAAAGATTTTGGATTTCAGCTTTACATAAAAACGAAAAGGAAATTTTTTGACTATTGAAATGTCCCTGTATTTTTTAACTTATGTGACTGGTCGTTTCTGACGCCCGTCTTTTCATTAAACTCTGTTTCCATGCCATCAGTCAATGCTAGAGTCGACAGCGGCTCAGTGACTTCCATAGCATGCAGTCTGCTGTTTCCTTGCAATAGAGTTGTACTAATTTATGAATCTCCGAGGCAAGAAACGCGAGTGACTCTGACCGAGGCGTAAATTTGCGACCTCGCAGTTCTGTTTCCAGTGCTGTACCTGCAGACTAACCGGTGCCAAATTCCGTTATCACTAAAAATCATGGTCAATACAAAGATTGTCATTCAGTGCAATTAATTAACTCTTGCAGTTCAGAGCCAACCTCTTAGTCTATATGGCACCACCAATGAACGATTGAACTAAGACAACGCTTTCCTGCGCGGATCCATGACAATATTAGTGAAGGGTGATCGAGGAGCATCAGAAATTGGCATGCTTTAAACGACTGAAGTTTTGTTCCTTACGAAAAACGAAATCGAAAGTGACACACTATTATTCATGGTCTTTCTTTATCTTGATGTCCATGGAAGAAAAAATGTTCCTTTGTTCTTTGACTGTGAACTCTCTCCTCGTCTCATCGTCAAAGTCATTTAGCAAATTCATAAGAACAGAAGATAGTTGCTCTCCTTTAAGAGGTAAAAGCGTACCGTCATCGTACCTGCAGTAGAAAAGTTTTACATTAGGAGGAAGAAGAGATGTAAAGCGACGGATTAAAAGTTTTTATTCAAAAGCTTCCACAGTTGTAGCGCTGATGTCACGTCTCAGGGCAATTCCAAATGATTAATCATAGAAGCTGTTGTAACATTGAAAGCCAATATTTCATCATGTCACTTTAAGAACTTTTGGCATTTCTGAAACACAAATGTTTCCGTTGTGAACGTTCCTTCTTTCACTTGCACTCAGTGAGTGTCTTCCTTGGTGCAGTCGAGAGAAATACGTTAATTTCCGAAATGTCGAAATCCCTTTTAACGTCGAATCTACTCATTTTGCAATGAGCCAATAGCATAACAGTTTTAAACGACAAAATCAATTTTTTTGCTGGCTCTTTTGGAATTAAATAGCTGTTAAGAGTATTGTCGTTATCTCATGCCAAAAAAATACAAATCGAATCATGGGCAAGTAATTTGTTTTTCACATAGTAACAGTTTGTGTTTTTAATACAGTAAAATGCGAGGAGTACCAAATCCATGGACATAGTGATGAGCGAGAAGTAGTTCTGGCGGATGAAACGATGACGAGATGCAACTGACACTGCACGAGCTTAAAAGCCTATGAAACAATGGTCTGTTTAAGTGCCCCCTATTTGGAAGCAGTCAGCAAGGGACGGTGCAATACGCTGTGAAATTTAATCTTAAAGGGATCAATCGTTACATGGTAAGAAACGAAGCGTTCATCGTCATTTTAATGTAAATTATTATGTAAGCCTGTGCCTGTGTGTTAGTATTCGGTGCCCCTTCGTTTCGTTATTAGTTAATAAACGGACAGTAGAGGATGTTGGAAGAACGTCGACTTGCTTGCTTTCATTTGTCACTCATTAAATACCACGCAGTCTTAGCCTACTACCCGTGCGGTACCCTTGGCTACTGCAAGCAAGGGAACATGCACTTATGTCGTATAAATTCACTTGATTCGGTTTAAATTCTTTTGCAGATCAATTTTTTATACTTTACTCCCTTTCCTGCGTTTTTGTTTGTGTCTTTGTATTTGTGCTCTTACTCAGTCGCGTATTTGTGTTCTTACTGAAGATGAGCTATATCTATTCTGTCATATCAGTGAATCGTGTGATTGCTCACTTGTTAAGAATTGCTTGTTTTTTTCGCTAATCTGCAAGGAAACTTTTTAATTGATTGGTTGACTGATATGCAATCAGTCGGTTTTTCTTTGCTCTGATCACCTGAAAGGTTAGTGCTTCGTTTCAGTTGTTTCCAAAATTTCGGCTTCGGTATTACTTGTGCATATATCGTTTTTGGTTTTTCATGGCACAACAGTAATGTTTAGCTGATGTCATCCACCGTTGCTACAGCAAATAAGTTTGATTGATTGCCGTTGAAATCTATCGTTTAAATGGACTTTCTTTACTTAGCATTTTAGGGTAAGGTTTTTCTTTGGAGACGTCCGTTTCGATCAGCCGTGAAAACCGTAGACTTGGTTTCATTGATGAATGGCCAGTGTGGTAAAGAAACGGAAGGTTATTCCAGAGCCCGGACTAAAGCGAAGATTCGAGGTAGAAAAACTTTTGTTTCATTCAACAGTCACGTTTATATTGATTTACTGGGGAGGGCGAAAATTACGAAGCTCTGCAACAAAATCAGGTGAAACTTTCTCAAACATTTTCTTGGCAGTTGTCTGTCAGTCAGTTTTGATGACCACTTATACTTTTTTATGGTAAAGAAAGCATGCCAGCTTTTCAGCTTCGACAGAAGAGGACTCGAATTCTGAACAGTGTGTCGAAATATTTGCTTGAGATCATTCTTGGCCATCCCCGGGGTCTTCGATCGGTCGGTAGGGCAAGTAATACCTAATGTGTGATGGTTGTAGGGAATATGAGAATCTGTAGGTTTTGTCCGGAAGGTGTCATATTCACTAATGCTGAAAGACAAAACGTGGTTTGAGGTGAAATTGAGGCTAGTGTTTCATTATTTATTTATTTGTTTTTAGTTTACATTACTTGGCGAAAATATCTCGTATCCGCTTAAAAACGAAAACTGACAGATAAAACTGCCCAAAAGCTAAGTTGGATCTGTGCACAGTGAACAGTTAGCAGATTGACCTTATCGAATCGTAAAGGGTCATATGATATCATCATTAGATATTGTCATCGGTTATCCTAAGACCATGTATAATTATGGTTGGTTAGA